CAGGCGTGTCCTCTTCATACAGGCAATCTCTGTGATTTCACCAGTAACATGCACTGTGTTCTGGACAAGTTGGCAGCATGCACTGTGCAGTTACGTAATACCAGGTCCTGTTCGAGCTTACCCCTACCATAGGCTGGCCTTTCGCAGTTGCACATTTGACTTCGAGTGAGTACCGCTGTGGGCATTACTATACCTGGGGAAGAGAGCCGCCAAATTATGTTCAAACCTGGGCCGTGCTCACTGAAAGAAGATTGCTTTACTCTGTGTTTAACATAGACCCTGTTAATTGCTGCAATCATGAAGTTGAGTAAGACATATGATTGGTCGGTCAGAAAGTCGGAATCCTCCGCTTTTGCACTTTTCAAACACAGGTGATATAGACCACATTTCACCATCCTGCTCTGTCTCTGTCAGGAGGGCGCATAACCAACCCCTCAGGAAACCTGGTCAATAGAGATTGCTAACGGGTTACGAAAGACTTCTTACACGTGATTCTTCTTTCACGTGCGGTTCATGCTGGCCATCCTTCTCTCAGGCAGCACAGCCCTAGCGTTTTTCCTGCGCAATGCAACATGCGGGACGGCCCTTACTCAACTGGTCCAGTCGTACCAGAATAACCTCATTGAACGCACGTCTGATGATGTGCTGAACCTCTTCAACTCCGGGGACTTGTGCGCACGGGTCTTAGTGGGGACTGTGCAGAGGATTTACGTGGCTCCACTAAATGCAAGCGCAGGCGTCACACTGGACACTCTGGTATGTCAGTACCCTAATATCCCGCTGTCAAGATAAATGTCCTGCAGAGTTTGTTCAAGCTTGTCGTACTTAGCACCCCTATCTTTGCATCATTGGAACTGCCATAAAGCGCCTTATCAACCGCACAAAGCAAGAGGTTCAAAATCGTTCGGCCTGATTCTTAGAAGTAACAATAGCACCAGAAGCAATGGTTGTACTGGTTTGGGTGTTTTTCTGAGGGAGTTCTGGCCGAAAGCTCTCGACGACGACGATATGATCAAGGCAAACGAGAATAAGGACCGACTTCATTGACTTCCGAATCCTCATTTCAATCCCCACAGTTTACCGGAACGCCATCTTGTATGTCCTTCTGCAGATTGATCGAGCAATCTTTGCCACCTTTACCGACTGTGCTCAGACTTCCACCCTGGCCTTCTCGAAAGAAGACGGAACCTTTTCCGGCATAAGTTCTCCTGACAATGTAACTATAGGGAACAATGCGGCCGTTCGCGTCCTCAAGGGCTTCAGTAATCAGACGACGCCAAAAGGTCAAGTTCCTCCGAGATACACAATGGTGAGTCAAGAGCGCTTACTTCGTTGTATTTTATCCACTTGGTGTGGATCAATGCCTAGGGCTTCGTCAAAGATGCCTCCAAGATTAGAAGACTGCTTCTGCCTCACGTGGACTACGTGCTCCTGGCAAGAAAGAAGCATTCTCCTCGCCTTGTTTTTCTTTCCCCTGATCTGACTGGTATGGACGCCTTCCAGTAGACTCACCAATGCAGCCAGCTTTCGGTCTGAGTTTAAGAGGAGAACCTCTCTGACTCTTCACTCGATGCTCCACGATTACGGAATCTGCCCAAAAAGGCCGTGCTTGCAATCACAAAAGAGAGAAGAGGCGCTCACTTGCTGGCCCGAAATGCGTGTAGCGTGCACTTTCAACTCATGTGCGGTTTTATCTCTTCCGACAGTATTTGTCTGAAGAAACGGGTGAACCTGTGACCGCGCCGCAGCTCAGCAACTCTCTCGACCCCCGAACCCGGGATTGGTACACTCAGGCAATGAGCAGTCCAGACGGCCTAGCTGCGCAGCTGCTGGTTGGCGCAAACGGGCAGCCTCAGTTGGTCCTGTCCAGGCGGGTGGTTCTCTCTAAGACCGGCGAAGTCCTTGGGGTCGTCACGTTGTCATTTTACCTGACCGCTATCAGCCGGTTCATGAGCAAATTTGACCTCAAGGGGGGTCTCATGTACGTCACAAACGGGACCATGCTTGTTGCGGACACGGTGAACGATTACCCGGCCGCTTTCAATGCTTCCACCCGGTCCAACATTGTACCGGCCAGAAAGTCCAACAACTCGCTCGTCCGGGACTCCTTTTCCTACCTGCAAGCGGTCGGGCAAGTCAACGCCTCCGGCGCAAGCACGTACCGGGAGGTGCGATTAAGCGGAGCGCTTTACTATCTGCACTACAGAGACCTCCAGTTTCGAAACGTCGTCATCCGGCAAGTCATGCATCTGCCACGTGGCAGCATCATGGGGCCCATCGACAGCGGCGCGCGCTACACCAAGGCGATCGTCATCGGAGTCACCGCTGCGATCTGCGCGCTGGGGTGTCTGCTGATCGTCCTGTTCACGGACCCAGTCAGCAAGGAGATGCGGCTCAAGGCGCAGGTGATTGAGAATCTAGAGGGGAGGAGGCAAGCGGAGGCGCGAGAAGAGTGCAAGACCAACTTCCTGGCCAGGACAAGGTGATTATCATGATTCGAGAAAAAGGCTTTCCTCTTCTCTCAGACATATCGAACACTACCTTTGTACAGCCATGTCTCGAAGCTTCTGGCAGATCGGTGAAAGGAAGTCTTGAAGCTTTTTGATATTGCAAAGCCAGACACCATGCGTTCCTATGATCCAACGCCCTTCCCGCTTTCGAACCTTACTATGGCCTCGAGCGAATGCAGGTTTCTTGGCCACGGACTTGGTATATCCAGGTTGGAGGTAATTAGACCCTCAGACTCAATCGAGAATGAAGACTCAGTTTCGTTCGCTGATCTTTCTGGTTTTCTTGGCTCTCACTGACTGTGCTCGGTCTTTTCTGTGTGTGCAGCCATGATCTTCGAACCCCCTCTGCGGCCATGCTGGGGTTGCTCGACATGATTCTGGAGTCCTCGCTGGACACTGAGCAGGCGGAGAGGGTGAAACAAGTCAAGGAGTGCGCACTCAGTCAGCTCAACCTACTTAACGACATCCTGGACTTTAGCAAGGTCGGCGAATGATTTTGTGTACCTTTTTTCATGTGTTATGTGCATAAAGGTAGTCAGATTTTGTATTCCTTCTTCCCAGAAGAGTCTCCTCGCGTGTTTCCAGTTGGCCTGGTCACTTGTGACAGTCTGATTATAGAGAATTTCAAGTCAATCTTCAAGCCGATGAATTTAAAGCGTGGATCTGAAAGCTTTTGGATGTAAGACCTTGAGCCTTGCGGCAGATGCAGAACCTGACTGCTGGATAACGTGATCAAAGCTGAGCATGTGCAACCATTTCGTCTTATTCATGCCGAAAACTATTCATTTTCACAGATGATTAGTCCTTCAACCGTCTCTTCTGGTGCGAGTGAGCAGTCGGAAACGTATTTTCAAGCGTCCGCTTTTGCAATTTGGTCACTCCTTTTGTATTTCTGTCTAATCTGCAGATCGAAGCTGGAAAAATGGAACTCGAGAACGAGGTCTTCGACATTGGCAACATGCTGGAGTCTCTGATGGATATGTTCAGCGTCCAATGTAATGCAAAGGGACTGGAAGTCTGGCTGGACATGGACAGTAAGCAACCCAACTGCTCCGAGAAGTCTCTGGCTGTCCATTCATGTCCGTTGCTGGATCAG